CAGCTCTTCATCATTTATCACAACAGTAAATTATTTCATTTCTGTATAATAAAACTATATGTCTTTCACCAAGGAACAAACTAAGATATTTATTAACTTTGATGTGTATACAACAACGTATGCAAGTTTACTCATGCTCATTGTATGTGTATGTGTGATTGTATTGGTAATTTTGCAGTTGTTGTTAACTGTGATGTAGTCCTTGGGGGTATTCCATGAAGCAGGCTTAAGGGAAAGTCTGACTTATTTCGACAAGTCAGTCTTACTTAAGTGAGAGTTCCGTTCCATAAACGTGTCTTAAATGAATCCCCGCTGAATTACCATGGTAATTTAGGCCTGCGAACAAGCCTGGTCCGGACCAGGCTAATGCTGCATTCCATTTGCCCTCGGAACTCGGATTCCGAGTTTTGAAGCTGGAAGTGACGACATGCGCGCTTCCGTTTCTCAGAGATCCGAGAAATATCTCAGAAAGCACAGAGGATCCCAAGTTCAGAATCCAAGATGGCTGCATCCTTTAACAACAGAAGGGAAAATTGTAGTTTTATCCTGTTTAAGCACTACTCATTTGTGGCTCATTAAATCGGTCGCACACACTATACCATCCAACTTATCTGTGGACATGTTGCTACGGAGTTTTATACATGAAGCACCGCGTGTAATGTGTTATCAAGTGATATTGCTAACAATGGCTACCAATTAACTGGGATAGAATTGTATTTCATGATTAGTCGTATTATTTGTCGGATTCAAGGTAGTTCGGGCTAATTGTAAGTGAACGAAGATAAAGGCCATTTAAACTGAGGTATCTTAAATCCGACAAGTTGTCCAGCTAAGCAAAAAATCTTGCTTTTTCATATGGGTCCATGGTATTGCTACTTCTGTGGCAAATGGAACGCATCTGACTCGGTTTTCCCGAATTTTTAGCGGATGTGACGTAATCTCAGAATTCGAAAATCTGACCCCAAGGCAAATGGAATGCAGCATCGCTGTCTTGCTTATGCTGCATTCCATTTGCCCTCGGAACTCGGATTCCGAGTCAGATTACAAGTTTTGAAGCTGGAAGTGACGACATGCGCACTCCCGTTTCTCGGAGATCCGAGAAATATCTCGGAAAGCACAGAAGATCCCAAGTTCAGAATCCAAGAGCCGGGCGAGAGTTCAAAACCAGAAGAGCAAACAACCAAAGCAACAGTACCAAAAAGGGGCGAAGCGAAAGTCGGAATCCAGAAACAAAAACAATCATACACAGTAAGGCAAAGCAGTAATCACAGGCAATCAAACAGGGGAAAAAATGAGCAAGAGCTCCAAAAGTGTGTGTACTGTGGCTTCTTCTTCTCTGGGGACCGGAAACAGGAACCGGTTGCAGATGGGAGGCGTGGCCAAGTCCGGGGAGGAGTCGAAGGTCCGGGACGGAGTCGAAGGCACGGCGGATGAATGGGCAAGTGGGCAGGGCGTCCGAAGAACCTATAGGCATCCCCAAATTTACAGTACATAACCGAACTTACGGAACGTAACATAACATTTACGTAACTTATGCATTTAGTCTGTCAGCAATTCATTGCCAAGCCAACTCCTTGGCTGTGTTTATGGCCACAGTATTGCCTTTTTTTAATGATTACATCTTTGTATTTTTCATACAGCTCCATCAGCAGCATTTATTCTGCGGCGGAAAGAAACACCGCTCTCGTTTTACAGGCTTTCCGACTCATTTGTTCGATCTATCGTTCATCAATTTATGTGGGCTTCTTAAATATCGCGGGTGTGCACACTAAGTGAGACTGTGCAAGTCTATCTTGAATGAACCTTCATTAATTAACACTGAACTGTGTTCGTGGAAGGACGTGAGGCTAAGTTTAGACATAGAGGTAGGTTGAGTCTGACTTTTTTAGGAAAGTCTGCCTTTTTTTTTGCTACTTTCATGGAATACCTCCATTGATATTCATGCACATGAATTTGGCTTAAGTAAAGAAAATAAGAACTATATATACATGCGTGTTTATTCAGCATCTACACCCTTTCTGCTTTTTATATATTGTTTTTTTATTGTGAATAGTCAGGCTGAACATTTTTGTTGAATACCAGCGCTATCTTTCAGTCAAATAACGTAACCTTGAGGCAGATTTATTATCCGATCCCATGATTCGTTGAGTCATATGGTCAGGCGCAAAAAAAAGACGAAAAAAATAAGTGAATCATAGAATCGGTTATAGAATCGATTCATTACAACAGATAGTTCAAAAGAATCGAATCAGTTAATTGAGCAAACTTCCCAAGATCTTCTGTGTTAAGATCTTCTGTGTGATGCATAAGTGCTGTTTGTCCATGCCTGTGAGCTCTGCAAAGCACATGTGGACTGAGAACACTGAACTACGGCAGCTAAAAGTGGATCGACTTGGTCTAAAAATGACAGGACCGGAATCCTGTCCAGGAGCCCCTTTGCTGCCTATTGGTGGCTGAGTCCGCCCCCCAGGACGCTGCCCAGGATAAGCAGTCAAGAGATAAATGGACGGAAACTGAAGCCCCATCTTAAATTTGCATTTAATAATTATAACTTATAGCATAAAGACTATAAGCAGGTATTAGCCGCTGAAATTTGACAGGTTTTATTTACCATTATAGCTAGAAAATCCTGCATTGGACTGATGTTCCCTGCTTTCTGTCCTGTGCTTACTGGAATAGGCTGCTGGCCCACCATGGTCCTGTACGGATAAGCAGTTATGTTTGTTCCATTGGTTGGAACCTTAGTTAGTGAGTGATAAATTTGGCCACGTTTTCTTTCCATGTAACATCATGTTTATCATGCATAAGGTATTGCAAAGTTTAAAATGACCCAGTATCTTTTAAGGAGAAAAATGTTATTCAAAGTATTATTCAAGCCAGAAAACAAAGGAATCTTAAAGTTATTGTACGTGCTGTTAAACTCTAACAGACCAAACCAGGTGGAGCGTGATTCATATTTAGCTGAAAGTATCACAGGTTTGAGTCGCAGGGCAGGTGGCTACCAGCTTCAGGGCATCTGCAGAAAAACACCCTTAATACTGTCAGACATGAGTAAGAACTGATCTGGGCTGCGAACAGAAGCATGTGACCAAGGGGTGGGAGGAGGAAGCTTAGGGACTGTTTTAGGGAGCAGGAGTGCTGAGGAGCACAAGGGAGACGCAGGTGTGGGATTTTGTTCAGTGCCTGAGATAAAAACCTGAACTTTTCTATAACTGGCAATGAGCTTGTTGCTCTGTCTTCTCCCTTATTGTCTTCCCACTGTGATTTGATGGACTGGGCAGTTATATTGTCTTGTGTATTATTTTTGTGTTTTAATTTTATTTTATTATTATTATTATTATTATTATTATTGTTTTACAGGAGGTGGCCTGTATTGGGTCTACCAGAAAAGTCTGAATAGCACAAAAAATGCCAAAAATCAAGTTGATTTTGATTTTGGAACATCAACTGACAAGTTCTGCGCAGAGTGTGTCTGACTGTCAGACACAGATCAACCAGATGACACAGGAGATTTCTCAAGTTAACAACAATTTGAAGGAATTAGAGAGAAACATAGCGGCGATCACACAACAGCGCTTTGTTATAGCTGATATCCAAGAGAAGTTCAGGAACGCTGTCAGGGTTTTGACCGATCTAGCTGGGAAAGCTAAAGTAGGTGAGATACAGACCAGGAAGTTTATTTTGTTTGAGCCTCTCATGACAGTACTAGAGGAAACTTTAAAATGTGTTCTCCAAATTTCAGAGAAGAAGGGTCAACTTCAGTGTGACGAAACAACTCTAATACCAATACAAAGTGCTCTTGAACAGGTTAGGTTGGGGAGCATGCGCTGATGCAGCGCGTCGCCACACCCACCACACGGCGAAACTCATCGGGATCCCTGCCATCGATCCCCCAGGCCGACACACGGTTCAGGCCCACCCTCCAGAAATGGGCATCCATCTGCCGCAGCCAGGTGTTACGTAGGCATCCCCAGGGCCCGGTCCAGCCCCTTGGGTCCCCAGCAATGAGGATCCTGCAAGCCGAACCGAATGTGAGAGAAATGAAAGCTTTGTGTGACAAAGAGGATGATCATGCTGATAGCAAGTCAGTAGGGCATGTTTTCATAAGCCTCTTTAAAACAGGCATTTTCATTGTCTTTCTGTCCATAATTTTTGCGAAACTATGCTTGTATTTATGGGCATGACTTGTGACGTGCAAAAAATACTTTTTATTCTTCCCTGGAAATTGTACAGTAGTGCAATACCAAAATTTTGGACCTATTGATCGCTTTAATTTTAGCACATGCTTTTATATAATTCACAAAATCATTGCAGAGCTTGTATAGAATGAATTTGTTTCCATTGATTTATAATTCAAACAGTGACTGCACTCTTTTTTCCAGTCAGATTTTGTGGTGAAACAGTAAGATATAAGAGGCAAATGTTTTATGTTCCAAAATGGTTAATGAGCAACATTTGTTTGGGGGGGGGTGCTCATCTGGGGAAGTCAATGAACACTATAATCAATGACATCTCTCCTTTTAGAAAGTAACTGACACATGTATATGGTTATTATTCCTTGAACAGAGTAACACTGAGGTACAAATTCTCTGCATTAACAGAAAAAATGTCCTTTTTAACATACAACTGTGTTATATCAAATCCTTTTTATTGCAATGCTATAAAATAAATATTTCAAACTGGAAATGGTTTTACATTGACTTTCAAAATGCTTCTTTCAGTTTCTGCTAATATGTGAAGGTTTTGCCATGTAATGAGCCAGCCTAGTGCAGCCAGCCACGAGAAATGCACCATTGCTTCCAGTCTCCCTTCTAATGCACTACAAACTTGTTTTACATTTTGTAATTATTAATTATGGGTGTGTAAACCCAAGCCCCAACCTCACTCCTGACCTAAAACAACTTCTAGATCCGCAGGTGTACCGCACGAAATTTCACCCCCGTCAACCTGCTTGTTATACTGGGGCATGGCAGAGACAGAGAAAGGGTGATGATCCACAGTGCTGCTCCAACATAAAGTTTATTAGGAAAACAGAACACAATGGGGAAAAGCACAAATAAAGGGACCACAAGGGGACCAATCAGAACTTAACTAAAGAAGCCACAGAGTAAATATACAGGGGAACAGGCTTCAGGTAATTAACAACCTAACAAATGCAATGATGCAGTAAGGAACGGAAAGAGAGCAAGTACTTAAATACAAAGATAACGAGGACTAACAAAGTACTAACCTCCAAAATGAATCAGTAACTGCTCTGAAAGGAAAACAGGAAAGGATTGTGTGGCTGATTAGCAGGGCTTTATTATCAGAGACAATAAACAATATTCATCTTTAATCAGATGCCCTGTGGTGGTTCAACTTTCCCAGTCCGGCTGCCTAGCTGTAATCATTAAGATAAATTCCCCTTCTACAATCTGGTTGACATTAAAGTACCCATTAATACTAGTTTATGGTGGTAACTACTAATAGTATTTTAGTGAATAAAAGAAAATATACAAAAGATTTTTTTAAGCACACAAAATAAGACATGAAATTATACCAAAAATGTTTCCCGCAAAAATCTTTGGTGAGACCCCTGGGTCGTCTTCTTCTTCCTTGACCTTTGACAGTGAGGTCAGTCTGACTCCAGGTCTCTCCTGTAAGCGGATCTCGATAAGCTGTGATGAACTTGATTGGTGTCACAGACCTGCCACTTTAACTGGAAAGAGGTTTTCTCTATATGTTAAAATCTTGCAACACATGCGTTTAGTTTGGCAGACTGTTTTATTTTATTCCTAGAGACTTTAGTACTTCACAATACATCACAAAACAGCAAAATTAAAAGCAGTTAAAGAACATGCGATTTACATAATGCAAATGTTAAAAATGTCCAAAAGCAAAAGTATCTTTTCTGGCATTGATGTTATGTGTATGTGCTCATGCACGTGTATCTTTCTAATATTCAAACGTATGTGTTTTGTATAGTATAATACATACTATAATAGAATCTTCATGCAAACTGATCCTCATCCTCCTGACTCATTCCTTTAAATGCAGATTCTGTTATTTCTTTGATCTCTTTCATTTTTTCCTCAGACACTGGGGGTAACATTGGCTTTAGTGCTCCTTCAATTTTCTCTATTCTCTCTTGTGCCTTTTGATCAAATTTCTTGTTATTCTCCCTCACAATATCTCTTATTGCCTTTTGAGCTTCTTCACAGGCATCTTGTAATCTTAGGCGTTCACTAATAAAATCTGGTCTGCTGGGATCCAGAGCCATGAGTTTGCCCAGACTGCTGATCCTGTCCATCAGATGTTTGTCAGAAACCTCAACGTAGGTCCCTGAGATCATGTTAACCAAACTGGCTACATTCGATGCATCAATGGCCTGCTTGTAGATCAGGTCTTTTGTGAAGATTTTTGCATCATATGACAGACTTGCCTTTTGAGACTGTTTCCTAAAATCATCCAGAGATCTATGCAGGCTGGTCTTAATGATGCTTGAGATCATCTGAAAAAAGCGTACCATCTTCTCCCACTGCTCTTTCACTCTTCCCATGGCTTCTAGTCCCATGACCAGCATTTTAATGGTGTTGTTGAAGTCAATCTCTTTTACTTTACAGTTTTTCAATGCGATTAAGATCTCTGACAGCTCCTTCTGGTTTTTCTCCAGGTTGTCCAAACTATCTTTTTGCTCCTGTCTTGCCTTTTCCAGCTGGGCTCTACTCTGCTCTATGCGGAAACGGGCATTCTCCACCGCCACATCACCTGCCCGTTTAGTCCCACTTCTCTTAGCTTGCTGTGGGGGTTCGGGAGTAAAAACCGGTGTGTTCGTGAAGGCTATGTTCTCACAGTCCAATGTCTGACACTGTTTCAACAGCTTCTGCATTCTTGTAATCATTACTTTTGTCTTGGCAGCATCGCATTTCCCGTCAGGTGCGATCTTGGAGAGCTCAGAGCACAGTTTAATAGCATCTGTGCAGATGTCAAGTACGGCCTTTTTGGCTTTACAGCCTTTCTCACTCTTCACTGAAGTTTGTATCTCATTATATTGTTCCCCCAAGTACGCTGTCTTTGTTTTGTCTTCCTTTTGATCGTATATCTCAGACCATTTAATTTGCTGTTTGTCGATAAAACTGTTCAATATTTCAGCCAGTGTAAGAATCTGCCCTGATTTGGAAAGTATGTTGCTCATAGCACCAAAGTCATCATTTACACTGGTGTTTCTGTTTTGCTTCCTTTCATTTGCGAATTTTGCTATGCTCTGTGTCATATTCGACAGAATATCTATTATACCTGGTGAATGCTGTGTGAGCCCTCCTACAAAGTTCATGCCAATCACGTCCCATCCAGATGGCAGTGAATCCATTGCTTTATCAAAACTCTTTTGTATGTCATCTAAACGTTTATTCATGTCCTTAAGTGTTTCCTGAGCCCTTTCCTTGGCTTTCTCTGAATCCTTCTTCTTTATTTTGTTCTCCTGAATTTTACGCTTGACTTCTTCCAGTTCATCACCATATACCTTCTTTGCACTTATACAAGCTTCTAAAAGTTCTTGGATCAGATTAATAACAAAGGTGAACTTATTCTCTGTTCCCTCAGCCAGTTGTACACATTGGTCTGATATAGTAGCTATGCTCTCCAGCTGGTCAGGGAGGAGGGTTTGGACCAGCTCATCATTGTCCTGTAGTAATATCTGAACTGAAGTCTTGATGTAAGCTGGCACACTTCCAGTGTGGAGACGGATCTGGTCCATGTTCGTGTGAGCCGTATTGAATGCCGCCCATCCAGAATTAGCCACTTGCATAAGACAGGCTCGGAATGAGTCTGGGTACTTGATGTACTGCAAGCCATCTTTTGGAAGGTTTTTGTTGATGGAGAAATCTACATTAGAGGAGATACACACCAGCTCCCCCAGAATGGCTATGGAGAATGGGGCAGGTACCAAGTACTCCTCCCAGTTAGCATATGGCTGCATTATCAGTTTGGTATCATCTCTGTAATCCTGAGCCTTGGAAAGTGATTTGGTAGCTTTCACTAAGTCTCCCATTGTCGTCTTTTCTGTAAGGAAACAAAAATGGTCAGATTTCAACAAAGATGTGAAGTAGTCTTGATGAATGAGTGTCTTTTTATTGTGCAGAGCACAAGCAACATACAATACATATAAAAACACTTAAAAGTCATCATGTATATAATGAAGGCTTTGATTGCTGTAGGGTTTGCTTGAGCCTGTCATGCGAAATCTCATCCATCGTATAAATTCCTGCCTCCTGTGGCGTGTCGATCAGATTTTGGGTTTCAGGTTTTTCGGTTATCCCCTTTAACAGGGCAAAGCACAGAGGCACATAACCATTTTTTTAATTAAAGGGTCAGAAAAAACATACAGCAGGGTGACGACAAATTGTTGGAAAGGACAGACAGAACAGAGAAAGATAGGAAATAATAATAATAATATTAAAATCAACTTTAAAAGAATACATTGACAGAACCATTAGGCGATACCATGTAGACAGCTGAAGTTGCATTATAGACTTTCCTCTTGTACTGGGTGTCAGCATGTGTGTGTTTGTGTCTTTTTGTGTGTCAGGGGAGATAAAAGTGATACATGGGGAGTAGAGATGGAAGAGAGGAGAGATAGGAGCAAAAGAAAGATTGATGTTAGGAGGGTTGTTGTTTGGCCAACCCGGACAGTCCGGGCCCACCATGCCCTGTGAGCAGGCCAGAGGGAGACCAGGGGTCTCCAACTCCAGTCCTGGAGAGCTACTATCCAGTAGGTTTTCTATCATACCCGGCTTCTGATGAACCACACTAGTTCTCAGGTAAATACCAGGAGCAGGTGTGGCTCATCAGAAGCCAAGTGGGACAGAAAACCTACTGGATAGTAGCTCTCCAGGACCGGAGTTGGAGACCCCTGCCCTAGACTTTCTGTGAACAGTGTATATAAAACTAGGGGTGTGGGTATATGTGTAGTATAGATATGCTTATAGAGGTACTCAACTTTCATAGTTCAGTGCAATTTCATTACAGCATGGAAGAAAAGAAAAAAGTTTTGAAATTATTTATACTAAAAACTGCAAATACAATTAGGAACAGTTGTAAACAGCTGCAATGTGTCTGCAAATGGATGTGAATAACAAAGCCTATGAGGTACTCATTTGTAGACTGTAAATTTTAAATTTAATTTAAAGCCTTAAATGCAAGGGTGTTAAACATAAATAATAAAGTTAAAAAATAAATAATAAAGTTACAAGTTGAGGAGGCCATTTGATTTGGCCCATCGAGCTCCCTTGGAGGGAATTAAACTAATAATTTAAAGTTGGCAGGATATTTTGAAGTTCAGATTTGAAGGAATCTGGGGTCTTAACTTGCACTACCTCTTCAGGCAGACTATTCCATACTCTAATTACACGCTGTGAGAAGAAGTTCCTTCTCAGATCCAAACTAAAGTGTCCCCCTGCTAGTTTCCGACTGTGGCAACAGGATCTTGAATTAGATTTTTTAATTTATGTTGAAGTAACGATTTGGCTGAACAGCATCTAGACCTATTAGAATCTTATACTGTATACCTGGATCATGTTCCCCCTTAGTCTCCTTTGCTCGAAGCTAAACAAATTTAGCTCGGCCAACCTCTGCTTGTAAGACATCCCCCAAAGATGCATAAAACTTCTCAGAGTAAAATTTCACTGTTAAATGCGTCACAGTTCTAAGAGTGACATGATTTTGCTCCTACTCCCAGACTTAAGAATAAGTGGCATGCATAAACATTCTTAAGTGTTAAGACTTGGTCTCAGCTCCTAAATTATTTAAGAGAGCTGGAGAGGACTCCTAAGCCAGTTAGGAGATGAATGATGGCAGCTGCACTACGCGCACCCAGACGGAGACCGCGTACTTTCCGTCAAAGAAAGGACGTCCTGCAGACGTACGACAATGATGAATTGATGAAAAGGTACAGGCTCGATCATGAGGACATTCTTTTTGTTACCAACCTAATTAGGTACCGGATACAATCTCCTACGTCACCTAAAAATGCACTTACAGTTCAACTGAAAGTGATAATCATGATGCTACGTTTTTGGCAACTGGAAAAATATAATAATAATAATCATTATTATTATTATTATTATTATTATTATCATCATCATCATCTATTATAGCGAGAGTCATAAGAGCAATATAAGTAATGACACAAACCTGTAGCTTGCATGCTTGCTTTATAAACTGATTTCCTTTCGCGAAGTCGATAAAACATTACACCACCTTTTTTCACATTCCTCTGCTTAACGCCTTGTCCGAGGTGACGCAGCATTTACAGAGCTTGCAATACCCTGCTTTTTTCGTCCGTGCTTGTGACAGCTGGGCCAAACTTTCCTCGCACTACCTCCTTCCGTTTAAGCATCAACTGTGCCAAAAGAACCGTTTTGTTTGTCGTCCAGTTTGGTTTTCTTTTAGAATCCAATGCTTTGCTATGAGTTTAGCGTTTGACCCATAATTTATACAATATGTGCATCTATTAGTGGAAATTGATTGGTGATGTGCTAGGTTGATTTTCGTACAACCAATTAAAGATATGATCACAGAAAGGTATGTTGTATAAAGCTGTACATTAACGGTTTAATGTCACTAATATATTCACCGTGCAGCTCCTCTATTGGTTGAACTCAGTATTTGGGGCGGGATTTTATTTGTAGTCCTCATTTCACGACACTTAAATGCTGGCTCCGTCAGCACTTAGGAATTGGGCTTATACTTTGCTGAAAGTTACTTTTAGCAGCTTTATACGATGCTCTTTTTGCTAAGTTTTTTTTAAATTTTTAAGTCCAAGTGTACGACCATTCTTAAGACCATTCTTAGGAAGTTTTATGCATACCGGCCCAGGAATCATCCTTGTAGCCCTGTGTTGGACCACTTCTAAAGCAGCAACGTCCTTTATGCAGTAAGGTGACCACACCTGGACACAATATTCAAGGTGAGGTCTGACAGAGGCATTATATCATCTTAGCATTACCTCCCTAGATTTAAACTCAACACACATTCATCGTGACAGTGGGATACAGCACAATTATCACAGAAACTTTAACTGCTTCTTAAAAATACAGAATAACTTCTTTTTAACCTGTGACTTTAATGAAGTTCTGTAAAACTGGCATTTCTTATGGCATCATACGATAATAGCATCGTAATACAACTGATTTTTAATAATTGTTAAGGGTCTAAAGCTATACAACATTTATCCCAAATGCAAGTGAAATATGTTTATTCCATTCTCTACATTGTTTCTGACTGAGAACTATAGTGCTTTTTCTATATTAAAATAGTGGCCCACTTGGGGGGGGGGGGGGGGGGGCAGCCTGGGACCCCCAGCATAGTTAGTCCACTGTTCTATCAGCTGGCTTTGCTGACTGATGTGTATGTATAAGATGGAAGCTTGGTTTCTGATAACTAGTGTCACACATCTGCAAGAAATACTCAGTTCTGCTCCAAACAGTCTAACTGCTAATGGCTGCCATCTTTGATTGCTTACTTGGATTACAGTGTTCTGCACTGTAAAAAAAAATTGTAATTTTACAGAAAATAACCGTCATTTTTTTATAGTAGTTTCTCTTTTCTTTTACAGAAATTATCCCAGAATTAATAAACCAACGCATAATGCCAGTAATGAAAAATTACACGTATTTCACATTTTTAAAAGGAAAAATACTGTTTAATTTATACTGTATGTTTCCCACTTTCTCAAATTATGTACAAATTTATGTAAAATCACAACATTAAAATTTAAAAATTAATTTAAAAAGTAATTCATAATATAAAGATTTATGACCATACTAAAAATTTAGCATTAGGTAAATCCTATTATTTTTACATTAGTTTGACATTTAACTTCTAAGTCCAATGTTTTTTTAAATTTCTTTTAAAAAGATTATCCAAAATGAAATTGCACAGGTGAGGCAGCAGCAGCCACTCACGTTTATGTAGATCATCAGCTCCATGTCTTTCAAAAGCATGAATTAGTAAATATAGAGGACTGAAATACTCAGCATCCATGCATGTGTTAGTCCACCCCCCCACAATCTAAAAAAAATGAGACCACATCATGACTTTTTTTTCTTTTAATAACTTTTGCATATTGTGGGTGTGTCTATGTAAAATGTATAGGTTGCTATTCTTTATATGCACTAAAGAGAGGTATTACATAATACTGGCATAAAAAAAACCTTAGTTGAAACCGGCAAAAAAATGAGTTAGCTCTCACTTAAAACGGTGAAGTATGAACGTGAGTTTATTATTTTTTTCTGGATAAACTGAACTTTGAATTAGTTAACATGAAGTGTGAATTTGCACTGATTATTGCTTAAAACACTATCAGGCTATCATAGCTCTGGGTCAGTGCTTCGAAATCTAAGCCAACCGTCTGCGCGCATGCGCACAGCAGCCCAACCTCTTCTAGCTCAGTGCACAGCCCGCAGCCTTGGCGCACTTTTCAAATCGCGCCACTGATCTTCATTTTGAACAGCCGCTCCTCTTAAGCATTTGACGGCGAGTAAGGTACGCTGCACAAACTGAACCAACAGCATGTCCATGGTAAGAACTTCAGTGCCTTTTAATGAAAACTGAAAACGTGAATTCACTACAAATTTCTCTAACACTATACGTTGTGTATAGTTAGATAAATGCACGAACTGTACTAAAATGTTCACATTTTGTAAATGCACGAAAGTATTCACGTGATTCTGTTACATCACACAGCAGAGAAGACGTGGGCACTCTGACTTCATCCCCTTTGCATGTTCGCAATTGTATTCAGGTGCATATCTCACTTATACGATCACAGGATGTTATATTTTTTTTAAATCAATTTATTGTTTTTATTGTATAAGATTGTACTGAACACACTGGAGAATTTAAGTATGCTCAGCACTGGCGTGCACAGATAGAGACGAGGTGGTGCTGAAGCACTTGCCCTTTTGCCCTCAGTCCAAAAAAG